CCCTAACCTCAGATGGTGACAGAGTTGGAGCCAGCAGGGGTTTTGCAAACCGTCCCGATTGCAGCAGGCCAGCAGTCTCGCTCCGGACAGGCGGGTGGGGCCTGGGCTTATCTCCTGAGCACAGTCCTAACCTCAGATGGTGACAAAGCGGGAGCTAGCAGGCGTTTTGCAAACCGTCCCGATTGCAGCAGGGTTGGATGGCCTGGCCAGCGGTGACAATGCGAGGTGTGGGGGCAATGGGTGGACAGTTTGAGGCTGGGTTGAGGGCAAAGCTTGGCTTGAGGGGCATGGGGAATGGACTCAATCTATGTATGGCTTGCCTCTATTTACCCCAGATCTCTACTTATAAAAGAGAAGGGGAAGGCTCTGTAGGTGGGTCTCCCCCATTAGGAAGCTTTCCTTTCCCAAGTCATAGGATACTTCTGCTGCTCCCTGAAGTCAGAACTGGTGTCCATTTGCAAGCATTGCCTCTGAAAATACCTACCATCTCTCCATGGGCTAGCCTTGGGGAACTTTTTATGTGCCACTGAAGTTTTCCTGAGGCCAGGCCTGCTTATAGGAGCAGCTGAGAGTGGCCACCAGGAGTCCATCCAGGTGGACCATTCCTACTTTGGAGCAGCCTGGGCTGAGTACTGAGAGGAGAGAGAGGTCTGCCTGCCGGGGCTGGTGAGGTGACGGGAAGTGACTGGCTGTGGAAAAGGAGATGCACAGGCCCTCGACCAGCCCTGGCTCTGGTTGCCTCAGCATCTCCTCTGCAGCCCCCTCTATCCCGTCGTCCCCACTGGCTTGGAACAGGGGAGGGGGTGGAGATGAAGAGGCCCCTTTTTACCTCCACAACCCCAACCGGGATCTTGCAACACTGGGATGGGGGCCCTGGGGGCCCGGGCATGTGGCAATCCATAGGGGGCGGGGTGGGGAGGTGTGCACGGAGAGGGGGAGAGGCTTTCACAAGCAGCCTCCACCGCGACTGACCTTGGCGGGCTCACCTTGGCAGCTTCCCCCTCTCAGAGGAATCTCCAAGCAGCCTTCCTCCTGCTGCTTCCCTGGGCCTGAGACCCCATCTTTCATACAAGACTCCCACCCTGCTCCCAGCTCTGCTCATGAAGTAAGAGTCTGGGCTGTGGATTCTAAAGCCATAGGAATGCTTTAGGTGTCCCTCCTTTCCCGCCACCTATTTAAAAAAAAAAAATGTTTTATTGATTTTTTTTTTTTTTACAGAGAAGAATTGAGAGGGATAGAGAGTTAGAAACATCGATCAGCTGCCTCCTGCACACCCCCCCCCACTGGGGATGTGCCCACAACCAATGGACATGCCCTTGACCAGAATTGAACCTAGGACCCTTCAGTCTGCAGGCTGATGCTCTATCCACTGAGCCAAATCGGTTTCGGCTCCCCCCACCTATTAATTCCCCTCCACCCTACTCCTGTATCCTCCCCAAGTGAGACCTTACTTTTTAAAAAATTATATATATATATATATATATATATATATATATATATATATATATTAATATATATTTTATTGATTTTTTTACAGAGAGGAAGGGAGAAATATAGAGAGCTAGAAACATCGATGAGAGAGAAACATCGATGAGCTGCCTCCTGCACACCCCCTACTGGAGATGTGCCCGCAACTAAGGTTCATGACCTTGACCGGAATTGAACCTGGGACCTTTCACAGTCCACAGGCCAACGCTCTATCCACTGAGCCAAACCAGTTTCGGCTATAATATACTTTTTATTGATTTCAGAGAGGAAGGGAGAGGAAGAGAGAAGTAGAAACATCGATGAGGAGAGAGAATCATTGATCAGCTGCCTCCTATAAGCCCCACACTGAGAATCAAGTCTGCAACCCGGGCATGTGCGCTAACCGGGAATCAAACCTGCTCTCCTGATGTATATAGGTGGACACTCACCACTGAGCCACGCCAGCTGGGCGAGAGAGACATTTCTTGACCATTCCAGCTAAGATAGCTTCCCCATCTATTAGCTTATTTGGTTTCCCCAAAGGGCATATGCAAATGAGTAATTAATGGATTTAAGGAGGGTGTTCTATAGAAGTGCGAATGAACAGGATTAAGGGAAGTGACAAGGCAGCAAGGAGTGGTGAGGTGGGCCTGGTGGCAGCAGTGGGGGGGGGCATTACCCCACAGGCCATTTGGGCAGCAATCTGGTGAGAAGGCTGTGAAGAGTACATGTCTGTCCTGGGAAGGGTTGGTGACAAGCACCTCACTTCACTCTCCTGTCTAACCTGGCATGTGGCAAGATGGACAAGGAGGGGCAGAGGAAGACACTCAGCACATTTGTTTGTTGCCTTTTTTCTTTCTGCCCCTTCAGCTGGGAGCTGGGTTGTCTTACTCACCACATTATTCTGGCACCTTGCAAGGGCCTGGCACAGGAAAGATGCTCAATAAATACCTGCTGTTACTTTGGCCCAAACAAGTTGAGGTCAGCTTAAAAGCCTCATTCAGAAAGCATGATATCTGGCCCCGGCCAGTGGCTCAGTTGGTTGGAGCATCATCCTTGTGCACCTAAAGGTTTTGGGTTTGATCCCTGGTAGGGGCATGTAACTAGGTTGCGGGTTCAATACCCCATTGGGATGCATTTGGGAGGCAACTGATCGATCAGTGTTTCTCTCTCTGTCTGTCTCTCTCTAAAAATAAATAAACAAAAATTAAAATAAATAGACAGCCTGGCCAGCATCCACATATGAATCAGGAGGTCATTATTCACTTCCTGGTCAGGGCACATGCCTGGATTATGGACTCAATATCCAGTAGGAGGCATCCAGGATGCAGCTGACCAATGATTCTCTCTCATCAATGATGTTTCTATCTCACCCTCTCCCTTCCTCTCTGAAATCAATAAAAATACATATTAAAAAATAAAAGACATTTTAAAACGTGTGACATCTGGCTACCTGCCGCCTCGCCCTGGAATATGATCGGTCACAGAGGATGGGGTGTGCTCAGCACCCTGTGTCACACTGGGCCGGTGCTCCCTTCTCTCCCAGGGGGGCTTCTCCAGTCCTGGTGCCACCCACCCACCCCGAGGAGCCTTGGGGTGGTGGGGGCTGGGAGGAGACACAATTCAGAACTGTGGGAAAGGAGCCTGGGGTTAATGGTGAAGCAACCAGGTCCCATCACCCAGAACCCTGAAAATAAGTCAAGGGGCAGTGGTCTTGAGGTGGGAGGAGGAAATCCGGAGGTTGAGTCACTCTGTGTGTTCTGTACAAACCCCCCTTATGCAACCCACCCCCCTGGGCCGAAAGGAAGGTGCAGGATTCTCCCAGGCATTCACAGACACTGGCCCCTCCTCCTCCCAAACTCAGATGGCTCCAGTGGGTGAAGTTCAGATCTGTCTGCCCAAACCAGACCCGGGACAGGGGATCCAGGGCACAGATGTAGGAGAGATGGTGCTCGAGAGACACCAAGGCAAAGGCAAGAGAGGGATGAGTCCTGGGCAAGACAGGCACGGTGCCCACGAGTGCCCAAGATGTGGGAAGGCTCTGACACTGGGGATGTGGAGAAAGAGAGAGCAGGGAGGATTCGGACCCCAGTCTTTCTGCATCTCACAGTGTTTCCTTGATGTCTGACGCAGGCTCTCTCAGCAGTGGCTTACAAGTCATTGGTGATCTAGAGGAGGCTCTAGCCTGATTTGTGTGTCCCTGTCTCTGTCAGGCACTCCTCACCATTCAGGAATGAATTCAGTTCCCTGCCATGTGCTGTATACCGCTGAGGGGAGGTGTGAGCTCAGAGTAGAGAGACAGGTGCCTGTGCTGAGACAGCAAAGGGACTGAGTGAGCTTTAGGACAACATCTCTTACGCCCTCAACCGCGTTATCTACAAAATGTGGCTCACATTATCTTGTTTCTCTGAGAGCCGAGCCCACTGGATAATTTCTTGAGGTCTTTTCTAGTACTTTAATCTATAGTTTTACGGAGCTAATCTTAGTTCTGCCTCTAACCAATATGTGATTCTAAGTCCCTTTCTGTCTCTGAGGCCTCAGTTTTCTTACCTGAAAAAATGAGAAGTTTACACGAAATCTCTGAGGCCCAGTCAGTTCTAGCAAAATGGAATAACTGTTCACACTGGCCCACGCCCTGTTCATCTATGAACATAACAGCACTATGAGGGGGTGGCTAGCCCTGCTCCCATTCTGCGGATGAGGAAGCTGCAGCACGGAGAGAAGTAGCTGGCTCGAGGTCACACAGCTAGTAAGCAGCAGAGGGAAACTCAAAGGGAGGTTCTCAGGCACTGTATTACTGTGTGTCTCAGGTGAGAGTTCTGTGAAAAAGAAAACACTTTGGACACGGGGTTTCACGGTCATCCTCCTTATGATCAACTTTCTCATAAACAAACGGGCCTCAAGACCTTTCCCAACGGATTCATCCCCTAAGCACTCAGATGCTCATGCATTAGGGTCCCAGGGGATGAGGGACAAAGACGGGAGCGGGTGGGAGGGAACCATGGGGATATGTCAATTGGGTAGACGGAAGCTGTGGATCTGGAGAGAAGAGACTTAAGTCTTGGGTCAAGAGCTAAGGGTTCACAAGTATAGCAGTCACCTGGAATTTCCCCCTTGGTCACCGGGGCAGGAGCTCCCAGGGGATACCTCCAGGGGACAGAGAGCAGGGCTTGGGCCAGCAGGGTCTGGGTGGTGCTAGGTCTTCCTCCAAGCCACAGAGCTCTGTGAGGACAGTAACCAGAGGCTGCTTTGGTCCTGTGGGATGCAGGAAGGTGCCTTCAGTGTCCAGAGGACGGGGCCGGGCGGGGCGGGGGTGGGGGAAGAAACAGAGTGACAGACAGTATCTGCTGAATATTTGGAAATATTCCCAAATATTCTCTTGGGCATGGAAGCAAGAGGTATGCAGAACTAGCCACATGCATTTCCAGGCACTTGCCATAGCTTCATTTGCTGTCTTTCCTCTGCCGTGGCTGAGGCACACACACAAACACACTCCCACACAGGCCCAGGCCCAGCGTACAGCCCCAGAACTGAGTCACAGTGCAATTTTATTCAGCTTCAGAACCATAATGCTGAGGCCTGCCCTCCTCCCTTGCCACCTGCTGCCATTTGTCCATGGTTTATGTCTCAGGCTTGGCCTGTGAGGGGCTCTAGGACCCCAGCAGGGCAGGGGTCCCCAGGGTCAGGCGGGGGGAGAGGGGGTAAGGTGCCCATAGTCTACCAGCTGGATCAGCTGCAGCCCCCCACACCCTTGATGAGGTTGGCGGCCTCGGGGATCTGGCGGAAGAGGTTCCGCAGGGTGTCCAGCTCCTGGGTGAGCTGCTCCACGCGGCTGCGGAGGCGATCGTTCTCCGCCATGTACTCCAGCACCTTCTGCTGCGTCTCCAGGATGCGCCTCTTGGCCTTGTCCCGGCTCTTGCGCACCGCGATGTTGTTCCGCTCCCGCCGCAGCCGGTACTCCAGGCTGTCCTTGTTGACTGCCTTCTTGCCCTTGTGCGAAGAGCCAGCCGGGGAGGGAGCCTTCAGAAGGGGACTGCAGGGGGGCGCGGCCGCAGCCATAGGGGCCTAGAGGGGAAGGCAGAGGAGGCGAGAGGTGAGGGCTGGCCAGGAAGCAGAGCAGAGGTAGGGCAGCGAGGCCGGCAGCCAGAGCACCCTTGAGCCTCCAGGAGCTGTGGGCTCCAGAGCCAGCTGAGTCCCAGGCAGAGCAGGCTCTGCCTGCGGGATGCACAGGGTCCCGGCTGTGACTGAAACTCCCTTTCCTGCTCCACACTCTCTGAGGACACTTTCCTTCTATTTATCTTGAGCCTCCAATTCTGTGACCAGCTAGCATTTCCTCTTCTCGAAGCGGGCGGCAGAGACACAAGAGGCGGGCAGCAGAGAAGCGGGGGGCCTGAGGTCAGGCAGGTCCGCTGGCCACAGGGGCTGCAGGACATTGGGCTTCAGGGTGGGAGTAGATCCACAGAGAAGGAAGCAGGCTCATGCCTGGATGGTGGGTGCAGACAGCTTCGGGGTGAGTCACTTTCACAAAGCAACGCCAGACACAGACCCACCGATAATGTAAGCAGGAAGCTCAGGGTCCCCGCCCCGTCCACAGGGGCCTCTCTCCGGCCACTGGAAGGCAGGGAGGAGGGCTGACCCGCTCTTACCTTGAGGACACGCAGGGGCTGGCTGGGCGCTGCCAGGGCCGGGGGCAGGTGCATGGCCGTCTGCCCGCAGTGCGCCACCTGGTACTGCAGAGGGTTGTAGCCGCTGCGGCCGGCCCCGCGGCCGCCCTCGGGGCCCCGCGGCTCCTCCTTCACAGCCACGGCCCTGGGGTCGTAGCTCCCCGGGCTGCTGTAGATGCCGGGTCCCAGCGCCTTCCTGTCGGGGCCGAAGGTGTGTGGGGGGTAGGCGAAGGGCCGAGGGTCAGGCGGCAGGTAGTGGGGGAAGGCAGGGGCTCCCGAGCCCTTGAGGCCTCGGGCCTCCGGTGACGGCTTCACAGCGAAGAGGTCGGAGAGAAGCTGCTCCTCCCCGGACTCGATGTAGGCGGAGAGGTCTATGGAGGCCTCGTGCTCGCACATGTCCCCCAGCTCCCCAGGCCCCGCGCGGGCCCCCGAGAACTCGAGTGGCTGCTGGCCAGCCCGGGGCTCACACTCGTAGTAGGCCCCGTGGGACATGGCTGGTCCGCCCCCTGGGCTCTCCGCCCCCGGCCTGCTCTTGGGGCACCTTGGGATGCTCGGCCTGCCCTTCCTCAACTGCCCCCTGCCCTAGATTTGCCCTAGATCTGCCCTCTCGGGCTCCTCTGCCACCCACTCCTGCCTGGCCTCTCTCCTCCCACCTCTGTTTCCTTTTCCTTCCTCTGTAGCCAATGCAGCTTTTCTCTTCCCTTTTTCCCCCCCTCTCTCCCTGGGGTGACTCAGGGAGGGGCAGGGCGCACCCCGAGGGAGGGATGCGGGCCTTAGAGAAATGGGGCCCCCAGCCTATTTAGCGGTTGGGCACTCTTTGGTCAGGATCCAAGTCAGAGTTCTGAGCTGCCCAGGAGCTGGTGCTTCTGGGAACACCTCCCCGGTTCCCGCTGAGTCCAGGGCATGCCAGCGTCCTTGCTGAGGGCAACACCTCCCTCTGAGAGTCCTCTTCCCTCCAACCTCCAAAGGGTTCTGTGCAGAATGAGGTGCCAAGTCAGAATGAACAGAGAGCACCCTCTTCCAGTGCTGACCCCGGCTTTGGCTGAGCTCCTCCCTCAAAACACCTCTCTCTCAGGCCCCCCAAAGCCTGGGCTCCACCCACTCCCAGAGGCAGTCAGTTCCTTCTGTAGCCCCACCTCCCCGGGGCATTCTCCTGGGTGCAGGCCAGGGGGCGTTTGAGGGGTTTAGGAAATAGTGATAGGTTCTGGGACCGAGTCATACCCAGGGCCTGTGATGTGGCACGGAGCCCGCTTCATTGGCTAGGTTTTTGCACAAGGTCTGTGCAATAGCCCAAACCCTCATCTGTTTCCAGCTGTGGCTAGCGTTAGCAGCCTGGCCCTGGCCCTGAGTGTCTGGCTTGGCTGAGGCTCCTGATCAGGACTTGGACCCTGTGCCCCGGGCACAGGCAGGTTGCTGCCCCAAGAATGGACTGTCACACTCTTCTGGGGGACCAGAGCCTCTGTGCCTGTTGCCTTGTGCTGCCAGAGCCTCAGGCGGGAGCTCTGCCCAGCTCGGGACCTGGGGCTCTGCTCCATTTCCTGTGCCCTGGCCGCAGGGCTCAGGCACTCTCCACAGCTCGGTTTGCTGTCTTTCCTTCTGCATAGCCATTGTCTGACCTCCATGCACATCTCTTGGGACCACTTCCTCTTGTGAGGCTTGAGAAGCTTTGTCTTTTGTTATCACCTCCTCCTGGGGCTCCTCCTGAAGAGGAGAAGCTCAGGGTTTGCTCTGTGCATTTGATCTCATGGGAGGTCCCTTCTCCCTTTTCCCTTTCCCCCCTCCCCTCTGGGAACTCCCCACTTTTTTCTGGCAGCGGCACCAGCTGTGTCCCTGTTTTTACGTGTCGAATTATATCTATAAAAGGGATGATAATTCAGTGAAAAGGAAGGACACATGGAAGTGTGTTACTGGCTCTTTTATCTCCAGCAAATGCTGGGAGTGCCTTGTGGGGAGCTAGAAGGTTTTATAGGTCAGGCACACCAAGGGCCAGGCCACAGTAGGGGAAATGCAGAATGAATAGGTGTGGCATTAATCACTAAAATGAAGTATGCAAATAAAGCTGCCTAAAGGTCAGACAAGTTACCCCTCATGCCTGGTGGTGGATGCAGATAGCTTCCTCCCTCCCAACACCACAACACCCCAGGAGCTTTCCATGCAAGGATTGAGGCACTTCCTTTAAAAGCCCTGACCTGGAAACAGAGGGAGAAACCAAGATGGCGGCACAAGTAAACGCCTAACTGCAGCCTCACACAACAATTTCAAAAAAATACAACTAAAATACAAAATGGACATTATCCAGAACTACAGGAAAGTTGACTGACTGGAAATTCTACAACTAGAAGGAAAGAGAAAACCAGAAGGAAAATCAGAGGAGCTGTAAAAGCCTAAGGTATGGAGACATGGTGCACACACAGAGAGGAAGGAGCCGGAGAGGAGGGGCAGGCTGATTGCCTGGATGGCATTCCCTAGCGGGAAGGAGACAAAAGCTCCGGACTGTGCTGAGTGCTGAGCCCCAGTTCTGACTGCACTGAACCCGTTCTAGGCCAGACCCTGGAAACCCAGGCTCATATGGAGGGAGTCTGGGCTGTAAGGCGGAAACTCAGAGAAGCAGTGAAAGGAAGTCCAGGAGGCGTGCACATTGCACACAGAGGATGGACTGTTGACTGAAGCCAAGGCTGTAGGCTCCACCCTGAAATTCTGCCCCATCCAAGTTGAGCACAGAGGCTTTTGAAATTTTTCAAGTCTAGTCAAATAAGGCTGTCTTCTGGCATAGACACAGCTGATCCTCACAGCCAATTGGCCTGGAGGTCAGTTCCTCCCAGTGATACCAACTACAATACAATCAAGATTTAACTACAACAAGGTTGTAACACAGTCCACAAAGGGGGGCACCAAGGGTATCCACCTCAGGTAACTGGGAGACTGACCCACAGAACCATATAGGACACCTTAGCACATAAAGCCACCCTACCAACTCAGGGAAACAGCAAAAATGCCGAGACAAGGAAACAGATCACAAACGAAAGAAATGGAGGACAAAAAGCGACTGGATATAGAGTTCAAAAGCACGCTTATAAGGTTTTTCAAGAATTCCTAGAAAAGGCCGATAAAATAAATGAGACCTATGAGGATATAAAAAGGGATCAACTAGAAATAATAAGGGATCAACTAGAAATAATACGTTGTCTGAAATAAAAAATATTATACAGAGTTCTAAACTCAGAACGGAATATCGCAAGAATCAAATCAAAGATTTGGAACATAAAGGGCCAGAAGGCACTCTTCCGCAGAAGCAAGAAGACAAGAGGATCCAGAAAATTGAAGATATGTAAGAAACCTCTGTCTGGGACAACTTCAAGCAAACCAACATCAGAATTATGGGGGTCCCAGCAGAAGAGAGAGCAAGATACCGAAAACATACTGGAAGAAATAGTGACAGAAAACTTCCCCACCTGGTGAAAGAATTAGACTTACAAGTCCAGGAAGCACAAAGAACCCCAAACAAAAGGAATCCAAAGAAGACCACACCAAGACACATCATAATTAAAATTCCAGGAGTAAAAGACAAAAAGAGAATATTAAAAGCAGCAAGAGCAAAGCAGATAGTTACCTATAAAGGAGCACCCATATGATTGTCAGCTGATTTCTCAACAGAAATCACGAAGGCAAGACAGGAATAGCAAGAAATATTCAAGGTGATGCATAGCAAGAACCTACAGCCAAAAATACTTTACCCAGCAAAGCTATCACTCAGAATCGAAGGCCAGATAAAGAGCTTCACAAATTAAAAAAAGCTAAAGGAGTTCATCACCACCAAACCAGAATTATATGAATTGCTGAAGGGGGTTCTTTAGGAAGAGGAAGAAAGTAAAGATAAAAATTATGAACAAATACGTAACTATCAACAAGTGAATCTAAAAACCAAGGGAATTAAAAAATCTAATGAACAATATTAACTGGCGAATATAATAGAATCAAAGGTATGGAAGGGGAGTGAACTGACGATTCTCAGGGAAAGGGGAGTGGGGGGGTGCAGAAAGAGACTGAACATAAACTGTGCACCTATGGATGAGGACAATGGGGGGTGGAGAAAGGGCAGAGGGTGGGGTGGGAACCTGGTGGAGGGGAGCAATGGAGGGAGGAAAAGTGAGGAACATTTGTAATAATATGAATAATAAAGATTTATTTAAAATAAATAAATAAATAAATAAATAAATAAATAAATAAATAAATGCCCTGACCTGGCCCTAGCCAGTTTGGCTCAGTGGATAGAGCATGGTCCTGCAGACTAAAGGGTCCCAGGTTCAATCCCGGTCAAGGCCATATATCTTGGTTGCAGGTGCTTCCCCAGTGGGGGCTATGCAGGAGGCAGCTGATGGATGTTTCTAACTCTCTCCCTTCCTCTCTGTAAAAGATCAATAAAATATATTTAAAATATATATATTTTAAAGCCCTGACCTGGCCCTAGCCAGTTTGGCTCAATGGATAGAGCTCCAGCCTTAGGACTGAAAGGTCCCAAGTTCGATTCTGGTCAAGGACACATGCTAGGGTTGCAGGCTCAATCCTCAGTAGGGGGTGAGAGGAGGCAGCTAATCAATGATTCCCTCTCATCATTGATGCTTTTATATCTCTCTCCCTCTCCCTTCCAGTCTGAAATCAATAAAATATATTTTAAAAATAAAATAATAAAAGCTCTGACCTGGCATGGGAAGATCTGCGTGCATCCCAGAGACAGATCTCAGGAACCATATGGGGAGATTTGTTCCGCCTTCTCCCCGTTTCTCCAGACCCTACTGGCAAGCAGGTACCACAGCTGAGCCAATTCGTTTGGCGGCAGTGCCTCTGTGAACCATCAGGTGGCAATGTTGGCCCAAAATCTGGACTTGAGGGGCTGCTGTGATGGCCGACAGAGGGCAGTCTCCCACAGTCCTGACCCCGGGAGACAGCCGGGGGTCTGCGGGAAGGAGGAAGAGGGAGCTCAGCTGGGAGGAGGACTTATGGTGCAGTTACTGGGAGAATGGACAGGCTGATAGGGCCTTATCTCAATGAGGAGAAATTCTATCCCTCCCCAACTTTGAAAATACTAGCGATGACAGTGAAGGCCTGGCATTTTCCAGTGCTTTTTTAATCATTGAAACATACACTTTTTCATGCTGACAGTTTCCTTGTGAGTTAAGTAGGAAGGTAAGCAAGATGGTATATTTTAAAATATATATATTTTATTGATTTTTCTTACAGAGAGGAAAGGAGAGAGATAGAGAGCTAGAAACGTCGATGAGAGAAACATCGACCAGCTGCCTCTTGCACACCCCCTACTGGGGATATGCCTGCAACCAATGTACATGCCCTTGACCGGAATCAAATCTGGGACCTTTCAGTTCGCAGACTGACGCTCTACCGCTGAGCCAAACCGGTTTTGGCACAAGATGGTATTTTTATTGTTGCCTTAAAAATGAGGAAAACCAACAGAGCTGCCCAAGGTCATTCAAGCATGCTGCGTTGATCTTGGGGGAAAGGGCAATGGGTTAATTCTTGATACACTCAGCAAGAAGGGACAGGGAGATGGGGGAACTGTGTGTCTCAGAGAGCCTTCTTTGGCTCACTCAGCCACCCTGGGGGAGGGGGAGAGCATCAGCAGTGATCGAACTGATGTCAGTGAGCCAGCACTCAGAGGTGCTGGAGGAAGCAGGGAGGTGTGCAAATAAAACCCGCAGGAAATGAGAAAGTCGCACAGCTTGGCGGGAAGATAAGTGATCTCAGGTCTCTCACCTTCCAGGCTGCTGGCTGACATTGGCTCACTGACATCAGTGTTTCCCAGTAACAGGATGGGGAGGAGGGGGGGGGGGGGAAAGGGCGGGCGGTGGTGGTTGTTGGCCAGGCTAGAGCTGCTCTGATGTTTGGGCAGGGGAGGAGTGGGTGCTGGGCTGGAAGGAGGGTGGAGAGGGCAGAGCCAATCAAGGGCTCTGGTATACTTGGGTTCTGCATTATTGTTCAGGAGCCGAAAGAAAGCCTCCTGGGTCAGCAGAATCATTTTCTCCTTGCTCCTGCAGTTGCTACCTGTTTGCATTCACTGAAGCAATGCATATGTATTATCTTACTGACTCTAACCTGCCTCAGTTCAAAGGCCACTTTTACCAAGTCTTTCGGACAGGGAGGCCGTTGAG